TGTGTGTGTGTCAGTTAGTGAGTGAGTGTGTGTTTGCCTGTTAGTGTGTGTTTGCCTGTTAGTGTGTGTGTGTTTGCCTGTGAGTGTGTGTGTCTGTTAGTGAGTGAGTGTGTCTTTCTGTTAGCTAGTGAATGCGTATCTGTCAGTGAATGTGTGTGTGTGTGTGTATTTAGAAGGCGGAGCAGGGGGGAAGGGTTGGGTGGCGGTTGCGCGGGTGGGGGTAGCGCGGGGGGGTGCCTGAGTTTTGTCCTGCCTAGGGCAGCACAAAACCAGGATACACCACTGCCTACGATAGGATGCCAAAATCCAGAATTCTGCAAAAAATGGATGCAAATCTCAAATAAATGCTCCTTAGATTGGATGGTGATAGTTGTGGAAGAGGTGGGAAGGGAACTTATCTTTGTAAAACAGTCTATACAAACTATGGAAACTAAGAATACCACTTTGTTACATGCCTCCAATACAACCGTACATATGCTTAAATTACAAGATGAAATTAATAAATACAAAAACCAACTCATCCGGTTTAAAAAGCAAAAACTGGAAAAAGTCAATAATGACTACAAATACCATCAAGTATATAGATGGCTGGGAGGCTCACAGGATAATTACAGACCAAATCCGAGATTTCGAACAAAAATCCACAAACCATCCTTCCAAACAATTGATACCAGTTCTGGCGACTCCACCTCAGACCCTGACTCTAGGGAGGACCATAGAATACATTCTAATGATATTTTTTTAGTAAGGGATCCTCAACGAGGGGAACCACCAGATATACCTCGAATTGGCACCCGAGGCGCAAAAAGAACCGCCCAGTACGAAGAGGGCGGAGCAACTTCAAAAAATATAAACCCCACAGGCAGACCACCCAGGATGAGGAAATGACGGTGGTTGTGAATCTATCAGACAAGATATTGAATTCAGACCACTACTCCTTACTGAATAAAGGTCTATCTTATGTTCCTGTTACCAAACCAGATCCTTTCCATATGGAAGTAGAAATGTATAAGACCCAACGGATCCTATATAGCCATGAAATCAGACGAGACATTGTCAAGACTTCACCACACCCTTTTTATAAAAGACATCAGAAGGATATTCGAACACCAAATGCATCTATCAAAACTTTTATCCAAACGGTGAAGACAGACATAGACAAAATGATTCTTAATCCACCTAAACATTATCCTAATTTGACCAAAGGTGAGAAGCTAGCTCTAAAGGACCTAAGCCAAGATCCAACAATTATTATCCATCCGGCGGACAAAGGCGGGGCAATAGTTATACAACCATACCAAAAATACCGACAAGAGATCATGCGACAGTTGGAAGATGGCAATACATATACAAAACTTACATTCGATCCAGTGAAAAAATTCCAGTCAAGAATTAAAAATCATATTACACTAGGACTACAAAATGGTTTCCTAGATGAAAAATTGGCACAATACTTGTCTGTTGAATATCCAAAACATCCGGTACTGTATATGTTACCCAAAATCCACAAAGACCCTAAGAATCCACCTGGCAGACCTATAGTGTCTGCCAATGAAGGTATTTTGGAACCTATCACTAAATATATTGATTACTATATTAAAAATAGTATAATGGCACTCCCTACCTGCCTTGGTGACACACAAGATTTTATTCAAAATATTCACTCTAATCCCAATATAGACGATGCTTCCATCCTCGTGACCCTTGATGTCCAGAGCCTGTACACGGTTATACCACATCATAGTGGGGTACAGGCCCTACGTGAAATTCTGAGTTCTTCTACACTATACCTTGGACCACCGATAGAATTTTTGTTGGAGTTTCTATACATTGCTCTTTCATGTAATTATTTCAAATTTGAGAATATTTTTTTCTTACAACTTTCTGGGACAGCCATGGGAGCGGCTATGGCTCCATCCTATGCCAATGCCTTTATGTCCGTCTTTGAAACTAAAGAAATTTTAACAAAATACGGAGATCGGATTAGACACTATCATCGTTTTGTAGATGATATCTTCCTTATTTGGATGGGTACCATCTCTGAACTTGAACAAATGGTTCTGGAAATTAATCAAGCTCCTACCACAGTTAAACTCACGATGAATTATGACAAACAGTCAATCCAATTTCTAGATGTTACTATCTTTAAAGAAGATTGGAAACTAGAATTTATGTTATACCGCAAAAAGATGGAACGTAACACCTTACTCATGGCTTCCAGTTTTCATCCAAAAAGTTTCAAATCCTCCCTACCTATATCTCAGTTCCTGAGGGTGTATAGATATAACACCACTAGTGAACATCGTGAAGAACAGTTTAAAGAGATGTGGAATAGGTTTAGGACAAGAGGATATATGACTCAGACACTAAATACAGCTAAATTACGAGCGAAAGAAATATGGGAAAATGAAAAACAAGATGGTATAAAGAGAAGAAAAGGAACATCTAAATCTGAAATACCGAAGATATACATTCCAATGACATACCATACTGGCACGTCTATTATTAGAAACTCTGTCAATAAACATTGGAGATTACTACAAGCTGATAAACAACTACCGAAATCTTTCCAAACTCGCCCTGTACTTAGTTACAAACGAAATAAAAATCTCAGAGATCTGCTTGTAAAAAATGATCCTAGACGTTGCTACCAAATCTCTCCAAAAATTACCAAAAAGGGATGCTTTAAATGCAGTGGATGTGTCACCTGTAGTCACATGGTCAGTGGAGCCTCATTTGCCCATCCACACAATGGACAGAGAATTAATATTAATCAATATATCACATGTACCACTGACCATGTGATCTATATGATTACTTGTCCGTGTGGCCTATCCTATGTCGGAAAAACCAACCTGACTCTTAGAGATCGGATACGAGGTCACCGATCTACTATCACCACTGCTTTTCGAGATAAAACAAGTGACAAACCAGTGGCTAAACATTTTTTGGACTTGGGACACTGTTTACCGACTCTACGCTTTATTGCGATCGATCATATACCTATGCCTTCAAGAGGAGGCGACCGGTCCAAAATGTTGCTACAAAGAGAAGCCCGTTGGATACACCGCTTAGATACTGTGACACCTAAGGGACTGAATGAAAACATTGTCTATTCTGTATTTCTATAAGTCTGAGACGTATAACTATAATTCAAATCACAACTTGAACTGTGATCCCTTATATAATCTTTGGATTGGATAATATCAATAGAAGCTGTCTAGATTGTAGTACTCCTGATGATTTATGATCTGATTGGTGGTGTATACATATTTCTATATACATCTTTATTTTATTTATATGATTGAAGTGTTGAATCTATATTGTATAATCAAGATTCATCCAGGAATTCTACGATGTATATATGTAGATAATAATCATAATTATGACATGTGTAGTAATTTGAGATGTATTAATAACAACACTTTTTATATCTCTGGAGATATATATTCTCCCTATACTCTGTAATATGAGATATATAATAACTATTCTAATTTCTATGTACTAGTATGTGATTGTTCAATCTCACCAGTTATGTCTGGCTCCCGAACCTAAATCTATGAAACCTTATGCCAAATAGAATCTATGATAAATAGTATCAAATTGATTTCTAATAAGACTTTCAGCCTGCAAATAGCTTCCTATAAATATAAAATATAAAATTTAAAGCTTAAAATGAAATTAATTAAAATATATGTGTAAATACATAATTCCCCATGATATTCCAAATTTTGTTTTTAATTATTACTTCCACCCTTTTTTTAAAAATCGATTAGTATTGATCGATTTTCTTTTACTTTCACAGTAACTGTACTTACTTACTATTAGTCACACAATTCATGCTACTCGGTTGTATAATATTGCACATAACCTAATGAGTGGTGATGATTCACTTATATGACACTAAATAACGTTTTATGATCACAGCATTTACATATGCTGGACAAGATACAATCTATTTTCTAACACTTCATACAATGTTAGTTGCTACCTTCTCACTAAAACTTTATTAAGCCGATATTCTATTTTGTCGGCTGTACACTAATTGTTGATGCCGGTTTCCTAGCAACTATGTACGCACTTACGTCATCACGTGGATCACGTGATGTTCGTCAGACACTTCCGGGTTTCGGATGGGGATAGGCGGGATACAGTCACTATTGGTGAGTACAATTTACACTTATCCTATATAAACCCTGTTTTGTAATATACACTTGATCCTGAGGAAGACCCGAACGGGTCGAAACGTTGATCAATTTGTCATAATATGTGACGGAATAAATACCACTTGGAATATTTAAAAAAGACCGGAGAGTGCATCCTTATTATTGATATACTACATATCCCAGCGTGGGATAGCACCAGGGCAAGAGATTTTTATCATAGCAGTAAGGGTGAGTGCCATTATACTTCTACTACATATATATATATATATTTGTGTAAGGGGCAAAATAGCCATATATGGAGTAAGGATCCAGCATAAGCTTAAGATAGTGTAAAGGGAGCAAGTCGGTTGTGGTGTGCCGATACCGACGATACGGTAGGCCTGTAAATAAAGAGGGCCCACCAAGGAGTAAGAAAGTAAAGTAAATGGAAAGAAAAGAGAAAGTGTTGAAATGAGGAGTGGGTGGGAGGGTCATTCTGATGCTGACCTCAAGCGATATAAGTCAGGTAAGGGGTGTCCCTTATATAGGGGAGTGAATTAATTTAAGCCCTCCCACAAATACAGGCAAAACTGCCTTAATACTTGTGTAAGGGCAAAATAGCCGTATATGGAGTAAGGATCCAGCATAAGCTTAGGATAGTGTAAAGGGAGCAAGTCGGTTGTGGTGTGCCGATACCGACGATACGGTAGGCCTGTAAATAAAGAGGGCAAAGATTTAATACAGTCAACAAATATATACAAATTAACCAGACATTTCCTTAAATGCATTACAGTATTTAATTCCTGAAAAGATTTTGAAGGTAGGAATCTAGGACCGAAAGTGGGCACCATTTGTTGTGGGTAGGATAGTATGTTATCTCTACTGTTGGTGCATGTTGACTCATTTCGGAATGTGGTAGAGCCAATAGGTAATGATATATGTGTTTACATACGTGGGATCGTTGAAGACAATGATCTGTCTGAGTAGTGGTGATGGTAGTGGATTCTCTGGCCTGAGAAAGGCATAAAAGGCAATGTGCATGGCTGGTAATGGCCGACTTGGTAGTATAATTGAATGGTTGTAGATCTAATAGGTCCGATAAGGATGAAAAGTTGGATGGCTATTGGTAATCTCTGAGAGGAACGTGGGGGAATGGATTCCTGAAAACCTCTGAGTATATTCTTTTCTGGTATGATAACATGAAGTTTATGGTAGTTTTGGCCATAGGTTATCCTGTGTTGTTGAATGCTTGTAAAATATATCATTAATGGTGTATGAGATAGTTTAAGTTTAAGGTGGCAAAAATAAGCAAAACTTAGGAGAAATTTTGTGACACAGGTTGAGCTATGTCGTGTTCCAATGAGATTCTTTAAGCCAGGTGAAAAGGTGTGTTATGCGTTCTACAAGTATGGGACGAAAGTGCTAGGTGGGATAGTGCATGCTATGCTGCATGAGTATGTCTAATCCATGATTTTGTCTCTGGAACGAAAGAGTGGACGTGACTGTATGGGCGGCTGTAGGAGGCGTATGATGAACATGCCTGGAATATAAATGAGACAGTTGTCGGCAGGGATGTATACCCCCGTCTGGTACATGAAAGTGAAATGTGATAAGTGGCCAACCAAGTGAGTTTCCCAGAAACATCATGAACTTATGGATGAGTAGTGGCGTTTGTTGATGACATGATATGTGCTTAGTTGTCTGAGTAACAACGGATTGATGACCCTGACCATGATTTACCCCATGCCACAGCAGCTGCTACAATGGGGTAGATCTCCCAAAGGGGCTGAAGTGGTGGAAAAATGTCCAAACCTGGATGCCATGGCCAACAGCTCCAAATCAATTGTTCCCGGTAGATCGCTGCCAAACCAGTGGTATACGCTGCGTCTGACCATCTGGTTGGAGAAGTGTCAGACAATCCTGGAAGGAACATGCCTTTACCATGCCAAGTGGTTAAGAAATCCCCCCCCATGTGCAGGTCTGCTGTTGCTGAGGTGTCTAGGCACCTCCTCTGATCGTCATGTTGGAAGTGTGGAAAAAAGGGGAAAGTACTCTGGATGTGAAAGCGTGGTCTTGTGGTATAATTGGCATGGCAAAATTAAGGAACCTGGTAGGGATTGTAGTTCCTTGTAGTTGTAAGTACTAAGCAGGAGGTAGTGATTGATTTAGTTGAGAATGTTCCCTATTTGTCTTGTGGTAACTTGCGTGTATGGATGCCGACTCAAGTCATATGCCCAGTAATGTGATGATAGTGTCTGCGCCTTCTGTTTCTTATGGTGTACTGGGACGCCCAAGTGGTCAACCAGACTAAGCTGCCATGAGGCTTCTAGTGAAAAATATGCTTTCTTTGAGCAACAAGAAGTCTTCTAGATAGTGTATGACTGTAATGCCTCTGGATATGTTATCATAACCAGCACAGAGTATCTGCGAATATCGATAGTAGGCTAATCTGTAGCTCGAAACTTGAGCGGGGAAAGGATTGCCCAATTTAAGCCATGTAAGTGCCAGTGTGTAGGGTAGATGGTAGCCGTTTACAGCGTTGATGATATTGGTCTTACTTAACCAAGCTTTAACCCTTGAGTGATAGCTGTAAAGGTAGATCAATGGTGTTGTATAGTAAGAAAAATCCTCGGAGGGTATGAGGGAGTTGAGACTTGGGGTAGCGGAGGTGTGTGGTGCCAATAAGTCTATGGTTAGTCGTTGTTTAAGAGAAGATTCCTTGTGACAATACCAATGTGTTTGTGTTTGTGTTTGGTGCCATGCTGTAAATGGTGGAGATTGGAAGACCCCTCTGCAAATCTTGGCTATGAGTGTGTTTTCAGCCAATGGTTTTGTTGTGCTGACTGTAAGTGAGGGCATGCTATATTCCTTGAAGGTGTGTTTTATGATACCTGTATGGGAGCCCTTTGAAGCTCCAGAGCTTTAGTAAATCTACTACAAGTCTGGAAGGGTGATGAGTCAGTAGTGTTGAAAATGCATTGGTGTGTACAGATGGTGAGCACGTTATTTGTAAGTTGTATTGGGCCACATGGTTTGTCATGTGCCCTGAACCATTTGAACATATATGCAACAGTCTATATGCAATGCAACTACTCATATCAATGGTCTCTGGTAGTTCAGAGGTGCTGGTACCTGGAGCCTGAAAGTGCTCATCCATTTGTTTGGGACAGAATCCCTTCTGTATGGATACCTGCACAAATAAACATCTCTACATATTCCAAATACCAACCCATCCAAGAGATGGTCAGTTCCCGATTTACCTGGAATCCCTGGATCTGACCATCACAAATACATCATCATACATATATATGCCTTGCTTCCCCAATGTGCTGGGATCATACGTGCAGGGTTAACATCTTGTGTGTCATAAGAATTGATTGTACCAGGTAACAGAGTTTCGGTTGGTGCTGGTTGTACAGTAACGTGAGGCCCAGCCTTGTGAGGGCTGTGGTGACCAACTCGAGATTGCCAGTCTGTCATAAATTTTTTGGCTCATGAGTTTATGAGTGAGGCTAGCATAGCCTGGGTGTCACCTGAGTTGATGTAGCTGGGCCTTCCCCTGCCTCCGTGTTGTCCGTTGATGTATGGAGGAGTTTGAATAACTCTGCTTTCCTTGCTGTAGCAGGGTAGGGGATTTGTCACCTCCTTAGGTCGGTGGTAATGTGTGGGATCGTCCAGGATCTGATTGCTGCTGGACTAGCAACATCTCCTCTGCTTGAAGGTGTATCAATTCTAGCCGGGGTGCTAGGAAGAGGTGATTCTTCACCATCTTTTGTAGAAATACTTAAATAACAATAAAGATTGCAATTATTTGTACCCAGGGTTCTTGTACTGGCTTGCTAGCTAAGCCGTAAGGCGAAACGATTAGGCTTGGTGTTTTTTGGTGACTGGTGAGGCCCTGCTAGTTGCCAAGTGGCTTGAGAGGCTCTATCTATGCTTGGCGCGAGGGGATTTTGTGTGGCCACCGAACGTTGTGGCAGGATGTTGGCCTCTCGGTGACAGTAACCAGAAAATAGGAAGGGGAGTGACAGGTGAGGTCCTCTCTATGATACAATGCGAGGCGGCTAGCTCACGAGTGGCCCGAGGGGTGTATGCCTCCGAGTGTGAGGCGGGGTGTTGGCCTCGCGGGACCACTAATCGAAGCATAATGCAGAGAAAAAAGGGGGTAATACCTATTGGGCCCTAGAACCCTAATTGCCAGTACACTATTACTATTCCAGGGAAGGTAAGAGATGGATAACTACGTGAGCAGGTGTATGTACCTGGTAGTATGGTATTGAACCTGACAATCCGTATAGGTTTTTTAGTAGTAACTGTAACCTGAATGGATAAAACCGTATGGCATAAGGAAATATGGCATAGACCAAGCTTATCTTAATACGTACAGTATATGTGAAAAGTAAAGTGCCATGATGTGTAAATATTAAACATCGTAGCCATACTGGTTAAATATGTATCAATCTTAACCCATTAAGTGCCGTATGTACAAGTGAAAATGTGGTCTGTCCCCACCTTGTATGTTGTATGTCCCCTTGCTAGGGGAAAGTCTGTTGCGTGAGCAGCGTGCTGTGAAAAATGTATGTGAACTATATTACCAGTTACGTATATACAGACGCGTCTGCTACTGTGTAATAATATATGTATTTATACCTGATGTTGATATAGTGCTTGCTATGTGAATTGTTGTATGTCTTATTGAATGGTAGGGGTCAGTGAACATGGTGTTGCAAAATGCAAGTGCACTGGAGATCTGCCGAGTGCCCTATAGGTGGCAGTGTAGTTGGATACTGATTGGTATGTGAAATGTTGTTTGTCTGTTGACCTATAGGTGTAAGTGTTTTGGTGTTTGTAAAACCCCATGAAAATTGTCAATGTACTTGACAGACCTGTAGGTGGCAGTGTTGATAGAACCACTGTTGGTCTTGATGTGAAATGTTAATTATTGTGAATTAGACCTGAATTTGAGCCCGCGCTGGAGTTTCATTATGGTTTATGGTTATGTTTAACCCCTAAAGGACCAAACTTCTGGAATAAAAGGGAATCATGACATGTCACACATGTCTTGTGTCCTTAAGGGGTTAAAACAATCTTATGTGTAATTTATATTGGCTGGTAAATTGTATATGACATGTGAAGACAGTTTTGCTGTTGACCAGTAGGGGTCATAAATGCTGATTGTATGGTAAAAATACCCTTTAAACCCTTAAGGACCAAACTTCTGGAATAAAAGGGAATCATGACATGTCACACATGCCATGTGTCCTTAAGGGGTTAATCCTACCGTCTG